TTGAAAAGTAAATGAAAAGCCTAGTCTGAAAGAAAATACAATTCAAACAGAAGAAAATATCTTACACATTTCACACTTTCTTAAAAAAAAAAATGTGAATTCAATAAAGCAAGTTCAAAGAAGAAATGATAAAAACAACAGATTAAAAGGCACATTCTGTGCTGAGAAAATAAGGTGGCAGCCCAAACACACAAAAGTAATAAACTAAGCATAGCAAGGGACAGAATCGATGCATCTGAAAATCAAATTGCTCATCTCGAGGAAAGCCTTATGTGAAAGCAGCTAAAAGACTAAGGCATTAAGAAATGGAAGCTAATACAAAATTAAAACACCGAAAAATTTTCCTGACATGAAAGAATCCACAAAACAAAAAAGAAAACTCAATTAAGTACAGGAAAATCTGAGCGAGAACAAGACACTGCGCTGAGACATATCCTGATGAAGCTATTATGATTCAAGATTCAAGAAGGAATTCTTCAGGCACTCAGACAAAAGTAAGTCATTCTCAGAAGCGAAATAAAGTTGTCCTAACATTTCTCTGTGGGATCATCAGATGCCGAAGAATGTCTACAAACTTCCCAGGAAAGAAACTGTGTCCTAAGAATTTTAAGCCCAACCAAGTTATCTTTAAATTAAAATGACCATAAGTAGACATTCCACTCTTAGCACATAGGACACTTCTTGAAAAATTTTCTCACCCACCGAATCTAGCCAACCAAGACCTCAGGACTGAAGCCCCTGTTGTCAGAGGGCTGCTGATGGGTCCGTGAAATCCACTTACACACAGGCTCTGTGGCTACAAAACAGAACACAGAGGCTGCAACCCCTGACAAGGTAGAAATAATAGACGGCCAGCACACTGGAAGAGGGGATGTAGGAGAGGGAGAAACTATGACTGTGCCGATTTCCTCCTCTTTAGGTGATTTTTCAGTCATTCCAGTCTAAATTGAGAATATGCAGCAAAAAATACATAATAATTCCAATCTTTTCTGTTGTGCAAAATCTTTTTTTTTTCTTTTTTAAATTTTAGAGGGATCTCAGCAGCACCTGGGTGGCTCAGTTGGTTAAGCGTCCAACTCTTGGCTTAGGCTCAGTTCATGATCTCAAGGTGGTGAGCTCTATACCCAGATGGGGCTCCATGAAGGGCGTGGAGCCTGCTTAAGATTCTCTCTCTCACTCTTCTGCCCTTTCCCCCACTCTCTCTCTCTCTAAAAAAAAGATAATTTTAGAGGGGTCTCTTCAGAGCTAATAATACCTCTTACAGCAGAGAAACATTTTATTAAAGATCAGCAATTTCTTCAGATTATACTTCAGATTCTGAATTTATACTTTGGATTCACTTCTATAAACTGAGTCAGGCAAAAAGTAATTCTTTAATTAAAAACAGAATATACAGTATATCTCATGCTGTATTAAATTATCTCTAGCTAGCAAGTTATTCTATCTGCATATATCCAAAGAAAATACCTACAATAGAGTTCAATTAATGTTAAAAATGGTTAATTTGGGAGGAGTGGATTTTTAAATAATTCATTCCTTGTGTTCTATATTATTTAAATATCTTATAATAGCTATATACCACTTTTACAAACTAAAAATCCATGTTTAAATTATAACAGCCCAAAAAATCTTTTGTTGAATTTTTTAAAAAACATATGGTAACTACATAAAAATTTACAAAACAGAATTCAAAAGAAGAAAACAAAAGTCACTCATAATGCCATCTTCAGTTCCAGCCAGAGTTAATATCTGCTAATCTTATAATAGAAAGGATTTCATAATGGGTCTAATACCTAATAAAATAGAAGCAACATTTACTCTTTGTTCTTAAAAAAAAAAAGGATTTCATAAAGACAACGTCAAATATTTAATAAATAGCTCCTTATATTTTTTCCCAATACTATAATGTTTGTATTAATTCTATTTAAATATTTAACTGACCAGCGTTTACTCTAGAGTGTTGGTATGCAGTAAGAATTAAATATTTTCTGCTATGTTTGATTAGTTGTCCTAAAGCCATACACTGAACAATCCATTCTCTGCTGGCTGATTTGAAATGCCACCTATACTAAGTTCTGACACAGAATTAAATACTCTCAGGTTTGAGTACCCTTTCTTATCTCATTGTTTTCAGAGACCCAACACACTCAGAAACCCCTGGAGTACAGAGCAAACTCCCCACTCGGCTTCCTCTGTGCTGGGAAGCCTTTCTTGCGGCCCACTGCCCCTTGTCTCTGTTTCTGCTGCAGTTCCGAGCTCCTTTCGTGTGGCTTGTAGGCCACGGGAATGTAGGCATCCTCTCCTTACCCCAACGTCTGGTCGGGTATCTGGCACACACAGGCCTTCGAAATATCCTACCCACGTCGTAAGCCTTCCCACCCACCTCCTCTCCTGCCTCTGTGCCACAGCGGGCATTTTATTTGTTTTAAAAACATGACCTAGAATTGCATTTCATTTCACTATCTCAGTTTTGGAGACTGGCAAGGTAGTCGTTTTATCTGTTTCAACAATATTTCCCTTCTAGTTTTAGTCCTATCCTTAAATATTTGCAATCCTCACGACACTAAGGCAAGAGCCAGTCCTGTATAACCAAGAGAATCCTGCTGCTCCGGGCCCGGTGCCTATACAGAAAACCGAGCGGACGCTGCTTCAGCGGGAGCACTACCCCGCCCCGCCCAGCACGCCCCGCGGCGGGCCTTCACGCCGGCCTGACGCTAATCTCAGGGCCCTTCATCCGGCGCACTCTAGGCAGCTTCCGGGCCAGAGAAATTTACTGGAAACGAGTCCTAGAACTGGCCACACCAGCCGCGGGAAGCAATGATTTGACGTAATGCCTAGTGCCAACCACAGGTTTAGTCCTTCTCGAGAAATCATGCTGAAGCCCTCTGACATCCCAAAGAGAAGGCAGGGGACACAGAAACACCAAAGGAAGGCTGCCAGAAGCCAAAGGTCCATAGACACTTCACTACCGGAGCCAGGGGACAGTGCCCACAGGGCCTCTACAGATTGGGAGCAGTTGACAAGATCAGCCCACCCTCCCCCTGCATGGTGTCACAACTGAAGGCACAACTGCTGAACCTGGAAAAGAAAGACAATGGGCATTGTGACAGCTGTCTTTAAAGATCTGAAAGGCTCTGATGTCTAAGAGGAAATGGATTTGTTCAGTCATTTCCTCAAAGGCTAGAACTAGACCCACTGGGTTGAAATCACAGGGAGGCAGACTGCAGGTCCAAATAAGAGCAAGCTTTCTATCTGGAGCTGCTCAACCACAGAGCAGCCTGCCTAGCGAAGGAGGCAATTAGTTACCTGGCACGCATGCTCATGTACACACACACACACACACACACACACACACACACACACGTTGCATAGAGAACGAATGTCAGCGATGCTCTGGAGGGATTCTGAACTAAGGGAGGATTAGACCAGGTGACCTCCAAAGGCGTCTTTTAAGACTATTGGATTTTGACCCTAGAATTTATTTAGATAAAGGTTAGCCTTCAAATGTAAAAATTTTAAAAAGACTGCATTCATTATCTAGAATTTTGAGAAGTATCAACCACACCCTTATACTGAGCATTACTGGCTTTTTATAATATGAATTTAATGATAAAAGATTAAAAGTAAGTTTGAGAGGCACCTGGGTGGCTCACTTGGTTAAGCTCCTGGCTCTTGAATGATCTCAGGGTCGTGAGATGGAGCCCCACATTGGGCTCCATGGAGCCTGCTTAAGATTCTCTCTCCCTCTGCCCCACCCCCCTCTCTCTCTCTCTAAAAAAACTAAATAAATACAAATAAGTTTCAGGGGAGCCTGGGTGGCTCAGTCAGTTAAGCGTACACCTGCAGCTCAGGTCATGATCCCAGGGTCCTGGGATCGAGCCCCCGCACTGGACTCCTTGCTCAGCGGGGAGTCTGCTTCTCTCTCTGCCGCTGCCCCTCCCCCACACGTGCTCACTCCCTCTCTCAAATAAGCAAATAAAATCTTTAAAAATTTTTGTAAAATAAAAATAAATTTGATCTTCCAAGATTTATAATTAGACACATATAACTTTTATCTTTACAGTAAGCTGGCTAGGTGAGTGAGCTGATATAGGTGAACCAATATATGAATGTTAGCCATGATAGCTTACAAGAGCCAACACTGCACAGTAAAGAGCTTCAAGACACATATGTAGGGTGCCTGGGTGGCTCAGTTGGTTAAGCAACTGCCTTCGGCTCAGGTCATGATCCTGGAGTCCCGGGATCGAGTCCCGCATCAGGCTCCCTGCCCAGCAGGGAGTCTGCTTCTCCCTCTGACCCTGCCCCCCTCTCATGTGCTTTCTCTCTCTCATTCTCTCTCTCTCTCAAATAAATAAATAAAATCTTTAAAAAAAAAAGACACATATGTAAAAACTACATTACCGCATCTGAAAACAAAACCCTACTTAATCTTCTTGAGTAGCTATAAAAGCAAGTGCTTGGAAACTTCTTGGTATAATTCTAAATTTAGTCTCTGAGGAGATGTAGGTTAGAATAAAAAATGGATACTGATTCAATCCGTCCCAGCCACCTCAGGAGCAGGACAGCCAGGGAAGGCCTCCCACAGCTGAGAGTGCACATCCTCCAGCCAAGTCCATGGGCCGTGGTGGCCCTGACCTTCGAGAGTCTGAGAAGCCTCACACCGTTGATGAGACAGCGTGGTCTGTGCTGTCCCCAAACCTGATCCTAAACTCAAGCTAGACCTGGACACAGCAGGCATTAGGCCATCTCTGCATGTCCTGATGAAAAGCCACCCCTCAGAATTTCCCCTTCTGAAGGTAAATCTGCTTGTCTGACAGTTTTCTAATTGCTTAAGGGAAAGACAAATGTAAATGATAAACTTTACATGAAGAGAACAGTTGAACAAGAAGAGAAAAGGGCCTTTGTACTTGGCTGGGGAAAGGCGGGAGATGACGGGAAATGATATCAGCATTTTAACGCATGCCACACGGAGGAAGGTAAACATGTACAAACAAACAAACCTGAAATTCTGCATGAACTGCCGGAACTTGTCCACCCGCTTTGCCAGTGGCACGATAATGTTGATGAGCGTGTTGCCCATGTTGAGCTTTTCTTGTTTTACTTTCATGATCGGGCCAAACGGTCGAAACAAGACGAGTCGTCTGAATTCGTGCTTCTGCTCCCCTTTGAACGTAAGCTCATACAGAGTGCCTTTATCCTTTTCTGTGCGGTAGATCCCTGTCAATGGAGACACAAAGAGAGTGTTAAAAATTAACCCTGGCTGCTGAGTATATTTTTTTTATAGCTGAGATCTAGCACAAAATGCCTTTTAAAACATTAAATTAAGATTAAATCTCTACATGTAATAAGTATTAGAAAACCCAAAATGCTCCCATATTTAAAATCCCCAAAGAAATCAAAATACCATCAATTTAAAAATCATAGTTTTGAAGACTTCCTATAAACACAGAAAGAAATTTGTGATGTTGGATACAAAACTGTATTTATAGTATACAGAGGCATTCATAAAAGGACAGTAAGGAAACATGCCAAAATAAGATGGGCTGTGATGTGGAGTGGGGTTGTGCGTTTTTTTTCTTTTCACTATTATCCACTCTTTCTGCAATAGGATTAGATAAATACCATAGTTATTCTATTTATTTAATTGTAAAAGAATGTTAAAATTATCTCTTAGAAATTACACCACTTCAGATGGACTGACCATAGCGATCTATTCAGAGCACTTCAGAGTGGCCCTCTGGAAGCTTCTGGAAGCGTTAAAGCACACAACACATAAAATACCCAGCACAGTGGTAGGCACACATCTTATTTAATTCCATATCATCCTTCCTACTTCTGAGAAGCATCATAGCTCAGTGCTCCCGAGCCAGACTACCTGGGATATCTAAGGCCCTCCAAACTGTGCTCTACCCCATGTCACTGGTACTGAAATGCCACAGTCGCCACCCGTCAACTCTCAAGATGAGCTTGACCCGACAGAATTTTTCTATCAAATAAGCAAACGATTCCCGATGCTTAGGTTCCACTGCCTGTGGGTGTTTTTTTCTATAGTCAGAAAAAAACTCCGGTAAGAATCCAACAAATTGCCAGACAAGCTCCTTCATCTTTTACCTCTGACTTGCCATGTTTTCTACTGCAGCTCTCATCCCTCCTCCCAGTCCCCACGTTAGCTGGCATGCACTTCCCAGTCTTGGAGTAGCTTCAAAAGTTCGTCTCCAGGGAAGTGCCTGCCCACGGGAGTTACAGTTCTCAGGCCTCTGACACACCACCCTCCTTTCTTCCTCACTCCCTCTGCTTTTGTGGGCACTACAGGTCTTCTTCACAAACACAGCCAGGTTCTCTGCTCCACTCTCTGCCGTACAGGGGCTTTTCATGCTCACAGCCTGCTTTACCGCCTCTTTGATCCTTTTCAAAGACTGGATCTCCTTCAGGAGCCCCAGAGAGGAGTCTGGTCCTGCGGATTTTCAAGTAGTCTCATTTCTCACAGCTGTCCCAAGGGCCTGCCTCGAGAATCAAGCTGCACAATCTGCGGGCGGCCAGCACGGGTGATTTAAGGACCCAGGCACACAGTGACAAGGCCTGAGTGCCCTCCTGAAGCCTCCATCGATTCCTTGGGTAACAGGGTATACTGCTCAACGGCCCTCAGAGCCACAGAAGCCGAGAGAGGTTTTGCTGAGCTCACGTTGGAACAGAACTTAGAGTCCCTGCAGGGGCCATTCATGGAAGAAAGAAGAAGGTTCATGTCTTAGGAAGCTCAAAGGACTTCTTTGAAAATGTGAAGTGGTTCCCTTCAAAGTCTGTTCATTCTTTCGGGCAATCAGTACTCGCTGAGGAAACAGGCTCTCGGCAACGTCTAGCGCTGTCTGCTGCAGCTGGGGAAACCACCAACTTCCGGGGTTAAAATAAGGCTGGGCGAGTGAGAAAGGGGTCGCTTTTGGTAACAGAGGCCGCACAGCTGGGAGGGGCCCGCCAGGGGCCGGTGGCTGCGCCTCGTCAAGCTCCTGGTATCTGGTGTCAGCAAGCACACCTTCTCCACACAGCCGTCCATGTGGGAAAGGCTGCCGACAGCTTAATGTGCAGATAAAAATGTACGTGGGCTGAAGAGAGTTTTTTAACTGAGTCATTTTCTTTCTTGGCACCAGGATAAGAATCATTAACTTTTAAAAATCTGAATCCACAGATTTGAAAATACAGGTAGGGAGATACACGAACCCATCTGAAGCGATGGGCATCTACTTAGAGAGAAGCCCGGAAATGTGAGAATTCTCACGACAGTGATCCTCATAGGTACGTCAGAGGAGCTGCCTCCCGACAGGCAGCAGCTGTGGCCGTGGCCCCCAGGTGTGGCACCGCTTCCTGTGGAGGCCAGCGCACCCAGGCCGAGTGTGCACACAACAGTTTCAGCTGCTTTCTCACTGTCTTCCACATCCCATGCCTCAAAATAGTAATTGCATCAACTTTTTAGCATATTTCCCCATACTCAAACTAATTAAATTAATTATGTCTTACAAATCTGATTTAGATCTCTTAAGTCCATTTCAAGTAAGTTATTTAAAACTCTCTTGCAACCTGTGTCCACTAAAACCCACACCCAGCCATCCACCCACCACACCCGCAGGCACGCCCTCCCACACCTGCACACTGGCACTCTCAGTCCGCTTGTAACACAAAGAACAACTCCTCAGTGGAGCCCCGTGCCTCCTGGAAATCTTCAGTGGTGGAAACACAAAGAGCCTGAGAGAAAGGGGGCAGGCAGAAGGATTCCGAGACAGAAATGGCCTTTCAGCCAATGAGCTGGCATGCACACCAGCAAATACAAAGCAAAGCGGCTTTGCGTAGGATAGCATCATTTTTAGGCATTATGTAAATTAAAGATCAAAATAAAAACTTTGGTGCTAGCTTAGATTTTGGGTTAGATACCCTAACTGCCCTCTTTCCATTGACACCAAGTTTACTTTGAGTTTGGTATTTCCGCTTCCTGAGCAAATATCCTAGTGCTCATCTTATGCTACTCAAGGGGACCAGGCTGTATGTAGGATGACCCACTAGGTGGGGACACCCCTGGCATCCAAGATAAAGCTTCATGGTCTGCTGCAAATGTCTGTTCCTTCAGCAGGTGAGGAACTAACCAGACAGAGGCCCCCTCTCCACGTCTTGTCATCAACCTAGGACCTCAGAAATCAAGATGCCAGATGTCAAGGAGGTACCACTCCTTACCCTCACACTCTTTTTTTTTTAAAGATTTTTTTCAAGATTTTATTTATTTATTTGAGAGAGAGAGAGAATGAGAGAGAGCATGAGAGGGAAGAGGGTCAGAGGGAGAAGGAGGCTCCCCGCTGAGCAGGGATCCCGATGCGGGACTTGATCCCGGGACTCCAGGATCATGACCTGAGCCGAAGGCAGTCACTTAACCGACTGAGCCACCCCGGCGCCCATTACCCTCACACTCTTACTTACCCTCCCTCAATATGAGTGTCCACAGGTTGTGGTCAATGCTGCCTGCTGATCCCAGAAGTGTCTCCGCTGTCCTACCTTCCCACACAGGTCAGGTCTCTCACCAGGATAACTACAATTCTCTGCCAACCCACATCCCACTTCCAGGGCCCAATCCATCCTGCAAAGGATATCCTGAGACTGCCACGAATCTTCAAATGCTCAGGTACTACAAGTAAGTAACTCTCCCCATAAAACAATAAAAAGTAACCACTTTCAGGCTTTTCGTCAACGGCCAGGGTAGGGAATTGTCTGTACACACCTTGCTTTCCACTCATCACGGTGCGTCAGCCCACAGCAGCTTCTGGACGTGTCCTGACGCAAGCTTATCACTGTTTCCAACCTTCACCAAACGTGTTTCTTCTGTTTGATAAGAAATGGTTGCACCGACCGGTGTCCTTGCCAAAGCACTTCATGAATTGCCTTGTCGTACTTCTATTTATTGCGTTCTGTGTGTATCTGTTCTTGTTACGAAGCCATGCAGACAACTTCATCACTTTAATCTCTCCGGAATTTCTAAGAGCCTCAGCTTACTTAGAGCTCGTCCTTACTTCATCACTACTACTAATAGCTGACTTTCTTTTCAGAGGCATTTTCTCCCCCACAAAACTACAACCCACCTATCACTTCATGAAGGCTATCAGGTACTTAACAATAAACAGGAAGCAAGGGCATGTTGTGATTCCAGCGCAGCCGTGGGCGGGGATCCTCGCCAGGGACCCGCCAGCCCGACACGTTTCATATTCACGTGACATGGTTACTCTTATCCTCACTGATTTTTCTTATTATGTACTGTGGATTGTGTTTTATATTAGAAATATAAAAATGAACATAAAATCACTGTGCTCTCAGAGAGAAAGGTAGATAGGTAAGCAACACAGGCATAAATGCATGATAAGCCCCTAAGAGAGTCTGCCTAAGCTGGAAGGGAACAGAAAGGAGGAAGTCTTCTACCTAGTGGAGGTATCAACAGTTTGATAGAAGATATTTCACCAGAACTGAAGACTGAGTGGGTGTTTGCCACGACTGCAAAATCAGAGAGGGCATTCTGTGGAAAGACAGCAGCATAAGCTAAGATACTGAAAAAACGAAAACTTGAGGCACTTCAGGGAAGCTGGGGTGCAGAAGTTACGTCTGGGACAGAGACGGGGGACGAAGCTGGAGAGTCAGGTGGGGCACGCCATGCTGGCCCGGAGCTCAGGGGAGTGTGGCAGGTTGTTACAGAGGAGCCGGGAGACCACGTCAGCACCATCCCCTTAGAGCAGCGGGAGCGTGGAGGGACCACAGGGATTGAGCTCAGATTGCCATGAGGAGGGAACCACAATGATTCAGCAAGAAAGGACAAAGGCCTGAACAAGTGCCAGTGGGAGGATGAGAAGCAGAAAGAACTCAAGAAATGGGACAAATGTAGTGTGTGGGGGAGAGGGAGAAACGTGGTGTGACTCCAGTTACGGGTGAGAAAGGGGCTGTGAGTGGAGCACCGGATGTGCTGATTTCCGGCGCTGTAGGAGGACGGAAGCTCAGCAGACAGGCCTCCCACTGACACACAGAGGTAGGTGTCCCCAGCATGCAGAGCCACCAGGAAGTCTGTAAGGACAGAAGAGGGAGCCCGGGACGCTGGCCTGGGGTGTCCCAACCCTGCAGGAGCCGTGTGTGTGGATCAGCAAAGGAGGCTGAGAGGCCAGGAGCAATGAGAGCGGGACGACGCAGAAGACAGGAGCCCG